GCCCATTCGAAAGCATAAGCGGCCATCGAAACTGATGATATTATGAACATCAACACCTCATCAACGTTTTTTATATTTATATATGTGGCCCCAGTATACACCTCATCAGTTAGTTTTAATCTATTAATCGATGGAGACCGAAGAGGCTGGCCTATATCTGTCTATCCCCTTATACTTGCACCCATATGGACTACCACTTAATTATTTTCATTTTATTGTTGAATAATCAATCGTATCAATGGTTTCTCACTTCTCGTAGAACTCATCGAGTCACCTTCAATGTCTGTATTGTATCAATTTCCTTGCAGAAGATGCCTCAGCTTATAACCCTGTAACAAAACATGTCAATTGTTGAAATAGAGATCACCGTCTTTAGGCTATGCATTTAGTGTCTTTAACTATGAATCATCCGTTCATTCAAAAACAGGCTGAAAAGATTTGTTATGCCCCTGATTCAGAATCATATTTACCGTTAGCATTACAATAGCTTTAAAACGAGCTTCTGTGTAGAGCCTTCAACTGAAGTGTTATAATCTAACTGTCAAGTAGACGGCAGGGTTCCCATGATGCCCCGCATGTGAAGAAATACAGGCGATGGCCGACGATTCATGGCGTTGGGCTTATATTTCGATTATTCCTTCCTTGGATGGACACGAAGCAGATCGTAAAATCATATTGCACGGCAGTGTCAACTCATGAAGAGCTTTAACGTCAGTCATAGTGGATACGAAAAATATAATTTTGGACAGTAAATCCTGACAGTATGAGCCAGTTGTTCCGTGTGGCAAAATTTAACTAAATCAATTATGGCTCACCCATGCATGTCTGGCAGTAATCGAACATTCGCAGCTGTCTTCAAACATCGGAATCTTTTGCAAATATTCGTCATATGATTTATGCTTTACAGATCTGAAGATTGAACCGTGTTGGCAGAGGATTTACAGAGGCTGCCCTCGCAATATGCAAATAGCCAGATCCATTCCTTGTACATCAGGCCATCAAATTTCAGAATCACAATCGAAGTGACATATGCAGCCTGTGGAAATTGACATCAGTTTAAGACGAACAATTTTTTCGAAGTCTGAAAGCGAATTACTCGAACAGGTCTGGCGTACAAGTGCGAATTGTGCGTTCCAGCGGAAAAACAGATTCTAGCTATCGCCTAAATGGAAGCAAAATTTCTGTCGCACCGGCATGCCGGATTCCGGCAGCTATGAACGCGGTCATTATGATGTATAGGAGTTCTTGCCCTGTGCAGTCGCTTCGACATGCAGCTGTCTAGCCGTCCACAGGGGCAGCATGAACCATGGACGCTTTATGGATAGTATGCAATTCAACGCTTCTTTAAACTGGTCAGTCAGGCTGATTCACGAATATTTACACCATGCCTCGCAGATTATCTGGCATCTCCCAACTGGAAATGATTTTTGATTTTTTGGGTCCTCATTGCGTTTTCAGAAACGCTGTCTCAAGTGACCTAATATGTTCCGCCAGCAACAACGCAAAGTTCAAAGACTCGTTGACATTTGTAATTTGAACTAAAGTCGGACCAGTAATTTCAAACGATATTCTAGCGTAAACTAGATCGGTTTCTCGGGCTGTTTTTGCAGTAGCAGTCTGGCTTAGACTGGAGGTAACCCATCGCTGCAACAGTTTACTACCGCGGCCAACTGTCTGAGACAACAGTTGTCGTGCCAGTAGCGTCGGAAGTGTAGTCATCTTCTCTCTTGACTCTCGATGACGTCACAACCAGCAAAACTCGAATTGCGAACGCTGTCGTCAATGTCAACTCAACACACGCAGGAGTCAGTTCGATAAGTTGGTCGTGAAATAGGGACAATCGCTAACTAATGGTTTTCCGGAACTGAGCGAGAATTGGAGGATAATGGACAGACGTTCGCTGACCGTGGCCTGCCTGCTACTTGGTGCTGTGATTGCATGGCCTTCCCGTAAAAAGAGCAAGGGTAAGACAGTAGCGTTAGTCACACATCTCGTTCTCATTCTCGCTTCGAAAGCAAGCGAGATGGCGAGAAATGTGATTATCCGCTGCTCACTGTTAAGAAAGAGCGCGATCGCCTTGGATCGTTCGTTCATTCGGCTTAGCTGGGAGGATATTCTTCACCTAGACAAGGTTTTCTCAACACTACGAGAAAATCTGTTATGTTCTTGTCTGAGATGTGCTGAGTCACATACACATGCGCAACGTCCCCTGTTTCTGATTATTTCTTTCCTTGTTGTTCTCCTCGTGCTATTTTGAACAGCAGTCCGCTGTTTGAGTAAGATACCGGTGTATCCTTCCCAGGCCATTCAGGAACAGAGTTTCCAGGGAATCTGTTGTAGTGGACACCACAGTGGTTGGAGCACTCAGTAGCCGTCGGACGTTAGTTTTCCATTTAAGCATTTTGAAGTCCACATTTGATGAAGGAGGACGATGGAATTTTGGGAAACTCGGTTTCCAGTAAATCGTTACTTTATCATTCAGTCAATAATGCGACAGGCATATACGGATGGCGTGTGGTTTTTCGGAAAGAGGCCAGTCCCTACTTTCAGCCTGCCGCGTGATCGCTCCCTACTCTCTGTGTTATTCGCTTTTCACAACGCAATTGCAGCTTTCAATTGTCAGAAACTGAGTTAAATAAAGTAGATGGAAAAATAGCTCTTTTAATGTTTTGCCACAGTAGGCTGTTACACGGCCCAGGTAACGTACAGATATCACACGATTGCATGATTAGCAGCATGCATGGATTCCATTGGATGGCGAGAAGCCACAAAAATTACACGACTTGAAAATTTCTGAAATTTAGCACTTTGGTTGATCAAGCTTCAGCCGTCCCTTATTAAGTTGGAAAATGTTCTGCTTTGTGTCGTCACATCAAGCCTTTCCCTTTACACGGCTCGGTCAGAAAATACGTGCTGTTGCTATAATGAAGAAATATCTTTTCACTGAGTAACCACTGATCGTCGACAGATCATTACAACTCATCGAGCCAAAAGTCTTGTAGGAATTATATTTCTCTTGTGAGATCAAAATCTGCCAAGTTCAAAACTTATGAAATATCATAATGCTACCTAATTACTTATGCTGTAAATCGAATTGAAGTTACACCTTGTGCCAATTATAACACTGGATAGCCAACTATCAGGCTGGCCGAAGGCGAAATGCAGCCACAATAGGCGGCGTTCTCATTGTATGGCATGGCCGTACACCTCTTCCATTCTGGGATGACCACGCCAGAACACCATACTGTTAACATGTCACCGACTTACCACCCGTTTCTCGGCTGATAACACCAAAGCAGCGTGCGGATTATTTCCCTCAGAGTCAGTAGACATACGGTTGAATCTTTGAGGAATCAGCTAAATGATGCCTATGATTAAGGTATGGAAAATTTATCGCATATACTATTAACAGACAATGGATGTTGCAGTGAAATTTATTGATATGAAATTAATTGTGTTCTTGCGAAAAACCGTCCAAGCTGATAGAAGATCTGATGATGGCATAAAATGTCAAAAATGCGAAGTCAAGAAACACTGCTCAAGGTCCATTAAATTTTCTGATTTACCGCTATGAGCTGGCTTTATTAAACCATTATGAGCTCAGAATTCGATCCCTACTACTCGTTAGATGTCTGATATTGCACACCATCCCAGATCAC